AGGAGGATGAAGAGGATGAGGAGGAAGAGGAAGAGACGGATGAGGAGGAGGAGGGCGAGGAGGAGGAGGAGGAGGAGGAGGAGGAGAAGGCGGAGGAGGAGGAGGAGGAGGAGGAGGAGGAGGAGGAGAGGAGGAACAGAGGAGGAGGAGGAGGAGGAGGGGGTGGCGCGGGAGGAGGAGGGGGATGATGAGGAACGGGGGAGGAGGAGGAGCAGGAGGAGGAGGAGGAGGATGAGCAGGAGGAGGAGGACCAGTGTAAACCCCAAAGTCATCAACGATGCTGGAACACACCCTCCCTCCGAGCCCCTTCTTCATAATCCCCTAGAGCGGCTCTCTTTTCTACTGAAGGAATTGCCTCGTTGAAGACAACCGTTCAAGACCCTGAAGCACGCCAAGACATTGTTCTCGGGATTCCAACTCCACGGACCAACCTGACTGTTGCGTCCTGGCAACCCCGAACCGTGCCAGAACGCCATTCCTGGCGCTTCAACACCACGAGTCCACTTAATTGTTGCGCCCTCGCAATCCCGATTTTTTCGAGAACTCCATTACTGGTACGTTGATCATGGGAGCCCGTGAAACGCTTGCGAATTTTCGAAAATCACAGCTTGCCACAGGAGCCGCTCCAAATCCGTGAAACGCTTGCTCACTTTTAGACGAATGTGCGCGGCACTAATGCGAGAACCACGTTTTGAAAATTACCCGCCCTCAATCCGTGAAGCTCTTCCGCATTAAAAAACGAATGTGCGAGGCGCTAAAGCGAGAACCACATTTTGAAAACCAACTGCCCTCACTCCGTGAAACCCTTGCAACTGTTTAAAACGAATGTGCGCGGCGCTAACGCGAGCGCCACCTTCTGAACACCATTCGCCCTCATTCCGTGAAGCTCTTACACATTTTAAAACGAATTTACAAAGCGCTGACGCGAGAACCATATTTTGAAAACCACCCACCCTCAATCCGCGAAGCTCTTGTAACTATTCTAAGACGAATGTGTGCGGCGCGAAGGCGAGCACCACATTTTGTAAACCACCCGCCCTCAATCCGTGACGCTCTCGCAAATTTAAAAAACGAGTGTGCGCGGCACTAAGGCGAGAGCGACACCTTGAACACCAACTGCCCTCCATATGCGACGTTTTTTTGTTTTTTTGGTTTTTTCTTTATATATACACAGATTTCCAAATTTTAAGCTTCAGGGTCATACATGGTGAGGACGTCTCAGGCGAAACGCCTGGCCCGCTCTAGAAACTAGCCTCGGGGTGTGACGGGGAGAAGCTATCTATAAGGAAAAAGAATGCAGGAGGAGGGGGAGGAGGAGGAGGCGGATGAGGAGCGGGAATAGAAGGGAGGAGGAGGAGGAGGAGGAGGAGGAGGAGGAAGAGGGGGAGGAGGAGAGGAGAAGGACGAGGAGGATGAGGAACCGGAGGAGGAGGAGGCACATTATGAAAAGAAGGAGGAGGAGGATGCTGAGAATGAGGAGGAGAAGAAAAAGGGGAACGGGAGAGGGGGAGGATGGGGGCGGATGGCGATGATGACGATGATGGTGATGACGATGACGATGCTGATAATGATGATGATGAAGGCGATGATGCTGGTTACGCTGATGGTGATGCTGCTGCTGGAGCTGCTGCGACTGCTGCTACTGACGATGAAGATTATGCTGCTGCTCTGATGAGGATGCTGATGCTGATGACCATGATGATGACGATGCTATTGCCGACTATGATGATGATGCTGCTGCGGATGATGATGATGATGACGACGACGACGATGATGATGATGATGATGATGATGATGATGATGATGATGATGATGATGATGCGGATGCTGACTATGGTAATGATAATGCTGCGGCGAATGGTGATGACGACGAGGATGGTGTTGATGATGTTGATGCTGCTGTTGGTGAGGATGCTGCTGCTGATGATGATGTTGTTGCGGATGGTGATAACTGATGATGCTGATGCTGCTGCTGATGATGAGGCTGGCGCTGCTGCTGCCGATGATGCTGCTGCTGATGATGATGATGATGATGATGATGATGCTGTTGATGATGTTGATGTTGATGACGATGACGATGGCGATATTGATGATGCTGATTCTGTATTGATGATGATGATGATGATGATGATGATGATGATGATGATGATGATGATGCTGCAGACGATGCGACTGCTGCTGCTGCTAATGCTGATGCTGCTGATGACGATGATGATGCTGATGAAGATGATGACGCTGATGCTAATGATGATGCTGATGCTGCTGCTGCAGATGATGATGATGCTCATGACGATGCTGATGATGGTACTGACGATGATGATGCTGCTGAGGATGATGCTGATCATGATCATGATGATGAGGCTGCTGCTGCTGCTGCTGATGATGCTGATGACTATGTCGACGAGGCGGAGGAAACGGAGGAGGAGCAGAGTACGGAGGAGGAGGTCAAGGAGGAGTAGGAGGAGGAGGAGGAGGAGGAGAAGACGGCGAAGGATACTGATAATGAGAATAAGATGGAGGAGGATAAGGAGGAGGATAATGAGGAGAAGGAGGAGGATGATGATGATGATGAGAAGGAGGATGAGAAGGAAGAGGGGGTGGAGGAGGAGGCGGAGGAGGAGGAGGAAGAGAAGGAGGAGGAGAAGGAGTAGAAAGAGGAGGAGGAGGCGGAGGATGAGGAGGAGGATGGTACTGAAGATGATGAGAAGGAGAAGGAGGAAGAGAAGGAATAACCGACAGGACGGAGGAGAAGGACGACTAGGAGGAATAGGTGTAGTAGTAGTAGTAGTAGTAGTAGTAGTAGTAGTAGTAGTAGTAGTGGTAGTAGTAGTAGTAGTAGTAGTAGTAGTAGTAGTAGTAGTAGTCGTCGTAGTAGTAGCATCAGTAGTAGTAGTAGTAGTAGTAGTAGTAGTAGTAGTAGTAGTAGTGGTAGTAGTAGCAGTAGTAGTAGTAGTAGTAATACTAGTAGTAGTAGTAGTAGCAGCAGCAACAGCAGCAGCAATAGTAGTAGTAGCAGAAGCAGTCGTACTAGTAGGGGTAACCGTAGTAGTAGTAGTAGTAGTAGTAGTAGTAGTAGTAGTAGTAGTAGTAGTAGTAGTAGTAGTAGTAGTAGTAGTAGTAGTAGTAGTAGTAGTAGTAGTAGTAGTAGTAGTAGTAGTAGTAGTAGTAGTAGTAGTAGTAGTAGTATCGTAGTAGTAGTAACAGTAGTAGTAGTAGTAGTAGTAGTAGTAGTAGTAGTAGTAGTAGTAGTAGTAGTAGTAGTAGTAGTAGTAGTAGTAGTAGTAGTAGTAGTAGTAGTAGTAGTAGTAGTAGTAGTAGTAGTAGTAGTAGTAGTAGTAGTAGTAGTATTAATAATAGTAGCAGTATTGGTGGTCGTAGTAGCAGCATCAGTAGTAGTAGCAGTCGCAGTAGCAGTAGCAGCAGCAACAGTATTATTATTATTAGTAGTAGTAGTGGTAGTCGTAGTAGTAGTAGTAGTAGTAGTAGTAGTAGTAGTAGTAGTAGTAGTAGTAGTCGTAGAAGTAGTAGTAGTAATCGTAGTATTAATATTAGTCTTCGTACTAGTAACCGGAGTAGTAGTAGCAGTAGTAGTAGTAGGAGTAGTAGTAGTAGTAGTAGTAGTAGTAGTAGTAGTAGTCGTA